AGAGAGAGAGAGAGGGGGAGAGAGAGAGCGAGAGAGAGAGAGAGAGAGAGAGAGAGAGAGAGAGAGAGAGTCGGTGGCTTAGAAAACTAGGACAGTCTGTCAGCTCATTACCAAGCTTACTGTAATTCACTAATTTGTTTTAACAGCTAACATGGTATTATACTGTACAATGTTTACTTCTTTAAGGTGTGTCAATGCCCAAATACAGTTTTTCTAAATTATCTAAGTACTGCATTTCTGTTACATAATTCTAACAAAACTGCAAGATAAATTGAGTTTATTCGTAATTTTATGGAAAACATAAAACAAAATCTGGATGTTCCCAGTGCATGTGAAGTACAATTTCTCATTCTCTCACTCACACCAGGTGAAAATTTAGAGTTACCAAAATAGCTTGGTCTATGAAAACAAACAGGAGCACTTGGGTAAAACCCACGCATGAACTCCACTCAGACAGGTTGCTGCTGGGTTGTGAACCAGTGACCTTCTTGTTGTGAGATGATAACTCTAAAAACAATAAAGAATTAAGCTGCAAGCAGGGATAAATGAGCCTTTTACCTCAGTATACTGTACAATAAGCACAGTCAACCCTACACAAAAAACACCAACATACACAAACATAAGGATTGGACAGGACAAAAATGTTTTCAAAATTGGGACTATCATCTAAAATGGCTGACATTTCGGAGTAAAGGGAATACCAAAAACATCACCTTCAAAATCAATATCTGACAAAATTTGAATATGATATGAAAAGGAAGCCAGAGATTGATGTCTAATGGTGCGTTCACACCGAACGCGATTTCAGCATCAGGAGCATCAGGTTTACATACAAAGTCTATGGTGGACGCGCTTCAAGCAACGTCGGGAAGTTCTGCAGCGCCTCAAGCGCGATTAGAGSAKCGCGATTTGAACGATTTGAACGATCTGAGCGTTCGACGCGTTGAGGCGTAAATCGCTGAAAATCTGAACTTTTGCAGCTCATTGCGCCGCGTCAACCAATCAGAGAGACTCCACTGTGTGACGTAGTGACAGATTTCCCGACGGGACAGTTTACTGAATGATGTCCACTAACCTGAAACAGACGGAGAGGAGCTCTTTAGCTGAAATCGAGTGCCTGCAGTCGGTGTCTAGATATCTGCACCAATGCGTGGCAGCGACTCATCAGACTGGAAAAATAGTCCTGAAAGCGAGCTGTGAGCCTCTACTCTGAATTATCTGGTGAATTAATTATGAATTAATTATCTGATGAACTTGACATGATCTTGCTCTCTGTAAATAAAGCAAAGCCACTTCCTCGTCCGACATTAAACAGAGCCCGACAGAGGAGGGAGGGGCAGGCTCTGCCGTGCAGCGCTTCAACAGCTGTCCTGCGTCTGACCTCAAAGTGCACGAGCTTCAAACTTCAGCGTTGGCTGCGATTTTGAAGCTGAAATCGCGTTCGGTGTGAACGCAGCATAAGAATAAAATGTGTAGCTTCCTGTTCACTGTACATTGACCTGTGCAGTTGGTAGACCTAAGGAAAGGATGAAATATTGACATGCAATAGTGTTGAGGAGCGGACTTTGATCAAACATGTGGCTTTAGGTAGAAATCAGACATTCTATGTGTGAGTTCAGATGAGCTCCTGATGAAGACTTTTTCAGATGTGCTAGAAACTACCGAATTGGGGGAAAAAGTCCGGTTTATTCCTGTCTTCACATGTACTCCAGTAGATTCAGTCATAAACATGGAGGTGGCTGACGAGTTAGGGTTAGGGTTAGGGTTAGGACTAGGTTAGGAGAGGAGAGAAGCATCCCTCTCTACAGAGACACTTTCCAGCTCATCCTAGGGGACCCAGAGACGTTCCCAGGCTAGAGAGGATACATGATCCCTCCAGTGGGACGTGCTCTGAACACCTAAAGGGAGGAATCCAGGAGTCATCCTAGTCAGATGAACCACCTCAACTGACTCCTTTGATGTGAAGGAGCAGTGACTCTACTCCAAACTCCCCACCAGATGACAGAGTTCCTCACCCTATCTATAAGACTGAGCATTACAGCATCTCATTCTTTTAGTCATGAAAGACACCTTAAGAAAAACCATGGCCTCAGATTGAGAAACTGACCCATATCCCAGACACTTCACACTCGGCTGTGAACCGCCCCAGTGCACGCTGAAGGTCTTGGCATGAAGACGCCAACAGAACCATATCATCTGCATACAGCAGCGATGAGACTTCCTAAACCAGACACCCTCCTGTTCATTACTGCACCTTGAGATCCTTCCCAAAAACACTGCAAACAGGACCAGAGACAAGGCACAGCCCTGACAAAATCCAACATGCATTGAGAATATGC